CAGATGCAACTCATTTCAAAAATCGCCCCCCCCCCCCCCTCCCCCCCCCAGTGGAAAGAGGTGGGAAATCAACACATGTTCATATATTTCCAGGAAACAATCTCTGATTGATCCAAAATGCACTTTTTCAAGAAAAAAAAAGGGGGGTGTGGGGGGGGGACTTAGTCGCATAATCTTTTCTTTCTAAATAAAACCAGAGTCTTATGTAACAGGACAAACTAAATACACCCAAAGCTCATTTGCTCTAATTGTTGCCCATGTGGTCCCAATCTTTAAAAACTGCAGCAGGCGACATTGAGTTTGGAGTAATGAGAATCATTATATAGTTAGATGTTGCTGTGCAAGGCCGGCGGCTCGGTCCGGATCTACCAGGAAGTCTTCCTTCCCGGTCTCTGGGTAAGTCCACGTTTACAGTAACACCCTGATAACTCTACACTGACCAGGATATTACACCTCGCAGCTCAAACAGTCTGACAAAGAGCATGAAATAAAGCCACTTTAAACAGCTTCCTGTAATTCATACTTTCATCCCTAATAAAGCTGTCCCCAGAGGCTGTTTACTGCAGTGTCGGAACATCGGCGCGCAAAAACCTGCTCAGTGCCTCGCTGTTTAATAACAGCTTTTTATTTCACTGCTACCAAATTTAATGGTCAAACAGACAGCCTCCCTCTGAAGTTGAATCAAGGTAACGGTGTTTTCTGAGAGCGTTATCCTCCAGGGCTAACGACCTGATTGGAAATTTTACAGAAAATGATGATGATGTGTAGCAGCATAAAACCACTTACCCCAGGAAATCTAAACCACCTTGAGCATCTCGGCTTGTTATATGACTATTTTATTTTTTCTGTACTTGAAAAGGTTTATTTGCAAGGAAACGGACAGAGTAATCTGCTGGTGACTGGAATCAGCTGATCAAACAGGTAACTGTCCAGCTGGAAACTTAACATTCCAATGTTTATCTGAACATGCACACTCTTTGGTGTGATTTTTGTTACTGAGGCAGATATTGTAATTTTTGCTACTTTTAAATTAAAACAGAGGAGCAATTTGGAAAGAAAATGTTATTGCTACTAGCTAATCTTTGGTAAGTGCAGTTTTAATCACTGCTTGTGATCTTTTAAGCTACGTAGCAGCTGTCACATAGCGAACGAGGCAAACTGAACCAAAACCAACTTCAGCAAACAGCAGGAAGACAAATGTTTACAATGAGGAAATGTGAAATGCACCAATTGTCTTTAAACCTAATAATATCAAAGTCTAAAGCTTAAAAACTCCTTCATCAGTTTGTCTTTGTTCAAATTAGTAAAACCCTGTTTTACATCAACTGCTCTCTCGCATGGTGTGACGTCTCCTCTGTTCTTGACCTCTCAGATAGAGACGATTGTTCACTACCTACCCGACAATCCCTCTGCAGGGTCTTCATCAGGTTGTTGTACGTCTCTGTGTCAAAGTAAAGCCCCTCCTCATGCATGTCCTGAAAGTCCAGGTCTTTGTACGTCGGACGGGCTTTCTCCCTCTCCTTCCTGGACGCTCGCCTCTTGTAGGTGGATCCCTTCAGGTCGTACTTGTAGTGCATCTTGACCGAGCGAGGAAGCACGTTGTTCATCACCACCAGTCGGATGTTGAAGCCCCCCGTCTGGATGCAGTACAAGCCGTAAAACTTGGGCAGCAGCGTGCGCGGGTTCTGGTTCAGGTTCTGTGGGTTTGGACATTCAACATTCAGATCTAACACGCAGGACTTTTCAGACTTGGCACACTTTTATTAATGCCTATTTTATTTATTAGGACAAGAGGAAAAAATACCTGATATCTGTGGAAGCTGGATTAAAGTAGAAATCGTATCTTTTTTATTTATTTATTTTTTTTTTTTTAGAAAGAAATCAGTTTTTAGTAGTAATCGCATCATAAAAGTCCTTTCACTTTTGTTTTCATGTTCCATATTTACAGTGAAGCCCTGATAGATTAAATAAATCTAATACACTTAAGTAGATTTACTTAAATTCTCTTCATAGGAAGAGATTTTTCACTGTCCACGGTAACACGATGATGTATCCATTAGATACGTTACCAAGAAAAGTTATTTCTGCATCCCAGATATAAAACTGTTGACTGATAATTTTCCATCCATCCAGGCTTTATTAACGGTTCACCTGCTCACAGTGAAGTCTGCCACAACACACTAATATCTAAAGGCCCCAACAACTCCTCTCTCTTCTGCACTCAACCTGATTTCATTTGAGATATTTCACAGAAATTATCAATACAAAATATATATGTTGTTTGTGTTCATTCTCATTATCTGCCATGTTTTCAGTTAGTTCCGTCACGTTTGCTTTGTTTTATTTCACCAGAAATAAAATGAAACCTTTACATCTCAACAGTCACTGTTGTATTTGTTGTTGTTTGTTTGTATATTTTTAAGTTTTGGTCATAAAACGAGCGAAAGACAGAAAAAGGAGCCGTGTTCCTCACCATGTAGTACCCAGGCAGCAGCCTCTGCAGAAACTTGGCCTCTTTGTGCTGAACCGTTTTGATGATGAACTCGTCGTCGCTGGTCAGGTAGAAGAGCGAGCCGCTGGCGCCCGGGTTGGCCAGCTCAATCAGAGGCTCGTTTACGAGCGAGTACTGGGGAAGGAAAAATCATAACATCGATTTAAGTGTTTCGCACGTAGCGAGGATCGGGCTTTCCGGAGAGCAGCTTCATCCGCAGTGTCATCACAAACTAGAGCTAAACAAGAAGACTGAAAAATGGAAACACTGTAAAAGTTTATATGGGAAAAAAAAAAAAAAAAGGAAAACATTTTTTTGTTTGTTTAAAACTACAAGAGATAAACGGCAATAAATTTCTTACAAAGTTTACGACTTAGCAGGAATGAGAAATAGCTTAATTTCTCTAGTTTTTTTTTCCCCCCTTAGGGGCATCATTCGTTACACAAACACAAATGCTTCTCATACCTTCATTTTTTCCTCTCTCATAGCAGCATGACTGAGATCCAGCAATGATAACAGACAGTAAAGTCTGGCATTTGCTAAAAATAACATATCTCTCGTCGTATCTCCCGTCTAAGATGAACAGTCAGTCGTTTCAAGCACAGCTCAGATTTGGCTGCTGCACACCTTTCCTCCAGGTCTATTCAAAATGTCCTCGTCGGAGCAAAGGTAGACCCAAAATAACCTCTCGCTCTACGCAGGAGGGGTCCCAGAATCTCCACATCTTGCCAAGTCGCTATAGTCAAAAAACCTATGTGTGAATGCATGCATTATTATGTCTAGGAAGCAAGTGTCACTTTGCCAAGACAGAACATTATCTTTTCAGTTGGGGGTTAATCAGACACATTTTAACCCAGCAATAAGGAAAATCTGAACATAAACGGCAAACTACAATCCAGAAGTGGCACCGAAAGCGAGCAGCAGACTGTGGAGAAGTGCTGGATGTTAATCGGTGCGTTATGAGAGCAACATGTTCAGAGGAGACGAGAAACACTGGAGGCATCTGCTCCCTCTCCCCGGAGACAGCCGACGACCGTCTGCAGTCGCAGCGAATAACTGGCACAAACACATCTGAAGCTCATCGCTTTTATATGTGCTTTTATTCCCGGTTTTAATTAGCCTGGGCTGTGTGGCCTCTTGCCTGACTGAATCCATCACCACCTGAAGCCACAACTAACTGTAGCAACCTCTCTACTTTGTCGCGCCTAATGAAATCCTCGCTCTTCTGCCTTGAAGTTAACCTGTTTTTTGTTTTTTTGCCTTTTGTCGCTGGTGCAGAAATAATGTCAGAGTTCAAAAACAAGAATGCAGCTGGCTGGATTTATGAAAGGGCCTGGAGGCAGATGGGAAAAAGGCAAACGGCGTCATAACAGGATAAAGTCATAACATCACACAAAATCTAATTTGGTTCTGAGAACAAAGCATAAAGAGGAACTCAAAAACAAGGGACTTCTGCAGATCCTCATTTGACTCTTGAACAAGTTTTGAAGGGAAAACAACGGGATTAAACAAAAAAAAAAAAAAGAGGATGACGAAAACTTCTAAACTTTTTACTTTTTAATCAGTTCTTGAACCAATCACCTCTGCTCATTTCTCGTTGGAGTAAAATGTAACGGTTTGGATCCACTTTCAGCATCTGGGCTTTACATTTAATCTGAAGGCACTCGGAATATTTTTTGAAAAATACCAGAATATGTGTCTTTGAAGTAAATCTTAGTAGATATAAGGTGTTTTGTACTGAAGTCCAGCTGCCTTATGTTCCACCACCGTCACAATAACAACCAATGACAGTGGTACATTGAACTTGTTTGGTTGTTTTTTTCCCATAAAAGCATTTAAACAGGAAGAAAGCTTTTTGCTTGGGAGCCACTAACATCCTAAGAGGAATGTTGTTGGAAGTACTTAACTTGAGGAGTTTTCGTGGGTGATATTTAGATGCAACATCACTGAGGGGTGGAGTCAAACAAACCAAATTACTTTAAAAAATGTGCCGCTCTGACACAAGTCACCGTTTGTTAGTGGTCAGAGCTGCACATGAACATGTTGTACACTACTGCACACAACATAAGAGCATGTTACGCTGTTTTTGTTTCATTTTTTTAAACATCTATGAGCATCTCTGCCACTTTAAAAAAAAAAAAAATTAAAAGGATTCGCATATTTTAATATAATGGCTTTTTCTGTCCCTAGTCGTCTTCATTTTCCTGCATTTTCTTTCAAACATTTTAGATAGATAATAAAATTATCTGGAATTACATTCCCTAGAAAGATCCTCAAATAGTCAAGGGGATCACTGAAGTACAATGGGAGTTGTTTTTTTCTTTTTTCCCCCCCATAAATTTAATTATTGATGTGCATTTGTATTTAGCGTTGCTGTGAAACATGGTGGTGGCAGCATTATGTCGTGTAGATGCTTTCGGGAAGACGAATGGAGTTAAATACAATCATGGAGGAAAACTAGTTGGAGGTTGAATGGGCCTTGATATGCAGCCTGAGCTACTGTGGAATGGCTTGGTTCAAAGTGCATTTATGCGTTTAAATGACCTAGTCAAAGTCCTCACTATAATTAATTTGAGAATCTGTGACAAGACTTGGAAACTAATGTCTACACGGACACACACCATCTGATCTAAACGAGCTTGAGTCATTTTGGAAAGAGTAAATAAATCTTTTTGACTCTAAATGTGCAGAACTGGCAGAGAGCTGCAGCTGTAAATGCTGAGAAATTGTTCTACAAGGTTTTGGTAGTATGGCACACTTTTCTGATTTGCATCGGTAAAAAAAAAAAAAAAACAATCATTAACTACTTGGAGTGTTGGGTCGTCTTACCAGATAGTCGTCGGGTTTGATGCCAAACAGATCTCTGAAGTAGCGGAAAGCCAGCGGAGCGTATGTCTTGAAGCGGAAGTCCGGGTAGTGATGAGCAGGAGTCAAGTTACTTCCCTCACTGTAACGTGATGATGAAACCAAGCCAGGAAGCAATGAAAAATAAAAAAAAAGAGATGCATAAGACACATTATTCCCATTAAATCTCAATAAACAACAATCTCATTGTTACGATTGGGACTTTAGCATAGTGGGTGACTGCATTTTCAGCCATTGATGGAGTATTTCTCCACCAACACGGAGGAGGTAATGAAACCGTTTTAAATAAGTGTGCTGGAGAAGAGATGCATCTACAACATGACGGCCCTGAGGACCAGCAGGTTGAGAAATGCTGCACTGATGCATGAACACAGTTCAGTTCAGTCATGTACAAGAACCTGGATCCATAACAGCTGTCGTGACAACAACAACATCAACAAAAAAGGCCGGTGTCGAGTAGTTCGCCTGGAGGCTGAAGGTGAGTCTGATTACTGGATCTAAACAATAATCAGCAGCACATGAGCCTTTCCTCAGAGGGAGAAAAAGGACCTGCAAAAAGACCTCAACACAATAACCTCGTTTTTTTTTTTTCCATCTTTGGCTGGACTGCGGGACATTCTCAGACAGGCTTTGACAAAGGCTGGCCCCATTCGGTTCCCAAGCTAGCTTTCATTCCAGGGGAGAACCGCGACACATGAACTAGCGTGTCGACAATATGGCGAGAGTGAGTCGACGTAAACTCACTGGAGCTGGTTTTCGTGGATCCTAAATATGGAAGTAGGTTAATAAAGATTAAGTTTTCCAGGGCGACTCTAAATCGGGATTGTTAAACAACGATCCGAGTAACCAGACTGTTTTGTTGTGTGCTGGGGCAACAGTCTGGGCTGTGCCCTGTAACATAACCCCACAAAGTAATTTGCCTGCTTTGTTCGGCGCGGGACGGCAGCGGCGTTCACCTGTCACGGAAAAGTTGTCGAGCGCAAACAGCACATGGAAATGTTTGATCCAATCTGATCAGAAAGACAGCCGCCTGCAGTTCCATTGAGAAGAAGGGAGAGTCATTGAGAAAAAAAAAAAAACAGGAGAGCAAAGCCGGAGTGCGAAAACTAGACTGACAGAGCTCATCGCTTAACCTTCCTCTCAGCCTTTCAGAAAAGAGATAAAAATGTTTTACATTTTCACAAAAGTGGAACTGCTTAGAGAAGGCAGGGAATGAAAAAAAAAGAGAAACGATTATGATTATGTCAGGTATTGGATGTAGAACATTCAGTTTCTCCTGACTGCTTTGTTTGTTGTGTCTCGTGTAATTTTCTTCCTTCCCAGCCTTTATATTTCAAAAAAAAGTTGAACAACTGCAGCTTTTATTCAAACCAAACATGATGTCAGATGTCACTGATGGGTTTTTTTTTTTTTTTTTTTTTAAACTCCCGCCTCTCAATCAGAAGCCGCGCTGCATCAACAAGAGTAATGTTTGGCCGTGGCTCAGAAATAGGAGACGTGTGCGTGCCAGGAACAGGTTTGCATAGACCATAGTGAGTTTGCATATCCTGGTGTTGCATCTCAAAAGCCAAGACCACAAAGTACTTCCTGCCAGGACTCTCATTCTCTTCCTGAAACCTGAGGGTTAAGCACGAATGTGTGTGTCCACACAAACAACTCCGAGAGCCCCCCGTTTTTAGTAGATTACATCCATTTTTATCACGGCTATTATAAATCTTAGCAGGTTTCTCAACTACCACATTCTTGACTAAATAACTATGAGACTGCCTTGGGGTAATAATTTATCAGTCTGACATTCCAAGAGTTTTAATCACAAATTAGTTTGAACACTTGAAATACAAAGTCTAGTTGGAATGAAAGAGAAAATTACTCAGGAAGGCTACAAATTAGAAGTAAATGAGCTAACCAGATAGCTAAAAAAAAAAATATATATATATATATATATATATATATATATATATATATATATATATATATAGGGCAGAGCAATATAATACGAGTATATCAACATTGCAATATTGATTTGTAAAATTTGTACTAAAAAAAGCTGTTTGGAATAAGGAACAGTTCATTAACACAATATTTCCCCCCCTAATAGATTTATTTTATTTGAACTATTTTTTGTCTCACTGAAATTTTTCAGCTCATCAAATAAAGTTGATTTGGACAAAGATAGCCTCGGTAAGTACAACAGGACTGCCTGATTGGTACCAGCAGGTAATCACTTTAACAGAACCTGTGTGCCAACGCCGAAGGAGAACGTCCTTCAACGTGAACCTGGGTCATGCAGCCCGACGACGACATAAAGCACACCAGCAGGGCCACATCTGAGAGACTACGGCTAATTCTGACCGAGATGCAGAGGTGTGACCTTAAACTGGCTCTCCGTCCCCAAAAGCTCTCTGACATGGCTGAATTCAAACAGTCCTGTGAGGAAGAAGAGGCCAAAATCCCTCCACAGAGACTCACCGGCTCTGCAAACCCGTGATGGGTCTTAAATCATTCCTACCTGTAAGCCATAAAAAAGGAATCTGTACGAGATGCAACATGTTGACCTGAGGTTAATCCAGCCTTCGACAGAGTGAGAGCGCGATACTTCAACAGATAACAGGAAGGCTGAACAAACAACAGCAAAACTGCTCTGACTTATTTTCAGGATTTTTGTTTGCAGCCTTTTGAAAATCTCTGAGTTAAGAACTTAGATTTCCACACGCGCAGAGAGAGAGACTGGTATTTCAGTAATGCTGCTAGCAGTGCTAATCCCTAATCTAAAATGCTGTTAGAGTTTTACAAAGCAACACTAGGCTCATTTTGACTTGGTAATAAAATATTAGTGGAATCTTGTTTTACAGCGATGGCTCTTTCATACACGTAGTGTGAACATCTGTGCTTTCATTTTAAATAAATACTGGCTCCTCACAGGAGGAAGGAAAGAAAAAAAATATGTTTTAAATGCTGTTGTCTCACAGTCTAAAGAAAAACCTGAATCGACCTAAACTCAAATCAGAAGGACAAAACTTTCACACAAAATTCAGAAATCGATCACAAAACTCTTATCGGTTTCTCATTTTATAGCAAAACGACCGTCGCTGATCATCTGAAAGCTACGTGTGTCGGATGACAAAGGTTAGAAATCCCTCCTCTCTGTATCCAGACAGAGTGAGCGTTGGAACTGTGTGACGACGAATGAGAGGATTCCACTTTCAAACGATTCCTGGTAGAGCTTCAGATCATATCAAATGGTTCTCTAAGCCGATGATGTAATTGTGAAGACAGCCTGAGAAGACGGAGAGGACACACGCTGACGTCTGCCGAGCGCCACAGCTGCAGCAGCTGCAGCAGCAAGAGGCATGCAGTAAGCTGATTTCACAGCTCTTGGGAGGATAATCTGCAGGAATAGTAGCATCCCTGCATCATGACTCAGACGAGGAGAACTGACTGCTGAGAAATGATGATGGAGAGGCTCTGGCTGCAGTTTACCCACTGGGCAAGATTAGTTATTTATTGCTTGTAGCACAGACCCAGACAAAAAAAA